TTCCATTGATTTGGATGTTTCAGGGCATCATCAAGAACCTTTGGATTGGTCTGCTCGACAGAAAATTGCTGTTGGAGCTGCTAGAGGTCTGAGATATCTTCATGAAGAATGCAGAGTTGGTTGTATCGTACACCGTGACATGCGGCCAAACAATATCCTTATCACCCATGATTTTGAGCCTTTGGTATGGTAGCTTTAAGATCCTTTACCATGATTGTGAAATTTGCATTTGAAGTTGAATGGTTGTTTGTTTTATCTTAAGACTTATTAGCATTATGTTTCCTAGTACATGTATTATTTGAAGCCCCTTATCTCTGTGTTGGTCAGCATATCATGTCCCCTATGACATATATAATTCATCTTTATTTTCATAGGTTGGTGATTTTGGCCTAGCAAGATGGCAGCCTGATGGTGATACTGGTGTGGAAACAAGGGTAATTGGAACATTTGGGTAAAGATCAAGTGGCAACTTTTGCTTTACTTCTTTTACATAATCTATGCAGTTTCAGAGTCCAATGATGAAATTCATTGTGGTATAGGTATTTAGCCCCAGAATATGCTCAAAGTGGACAAATCACAGAAAAAGCTGATGTCTATTCCTTCGGAGTGGTGTTGGTTGAGCTTGTAACAGGAAGAAAAGCAGTTGATTTGAACAGGCCAAAGGGCCAGCAATGTTTAACTGAATGGGTATGCTTTAAGAATTCCTCCCATATATGTTCTAGCATTCAATTCGTCTGTGTGAATTTCATTTGAGAGCAACATATAAATATAAAGTATGTAGCATTATTCAGAGTGATAACTTTTTCAAATTACTTCTGTTCTGATCTGGAACAGGCACGCCCCCTTTTGGAAGAATATGCCATAGATGAATTGATTGATCCAAGGTTAGGGAATCACTATTCTGAACAGGAGGTCTTTTGCATGCTTCATGCAGCATCATCATGCATCCGGAGGGATCCACAATCTAGGCCTCGCATGTCACAGGTAAATGATAAACTTTAAATAGAGAATAGCCAAATAGGTTTACCAAACTATAAACAGAGTAACCGAATGGATTTTTAAAATCTTCTTTAACTCATTAAACGTATGCCATTCTAGCCTCCATACCCACTACAGCCACATGACTGCATCACTCTGTACTTTCAGATTTTTCACTCAACAGATGATGCACTCAGTTTGGCTTGGCTTTTTCAGTTCTAAACAATCTACCTTTTAGTTCTTGAATTGTATTTAAATGATGGGCCTTTTGTCTTTATACTTCCTTCCATCTGAAGGTTGAATATTCTCCAATTCTCAATTAAGTATTGCCCTTGGTTTTAGTTATTCAAAAGAATCTCTTTTGAAGGTGCTTCGGATGTTGGAAGGTGATATGCTTGTGGACACAAATTACATGTCAACCTCAGGATACGAAATTGGCAGCCGTAGTAGCCGGGTTTGGGCATCACAGGCACAGCAACAAGAACATTATAGTGGACCTCTTTTAAACGAGACAATGGAAGAGTTCAGCGGGAAACTCTCCCTGAACACACTAAGGACAGTGTTTTGGGAAAGAGACAAGGCCAGAAGAACTTCATGTGAGGATGATTTCTAGAGCAATGCACACTTACACGTACGGCATGCTATGTATTTTGTCCCCCCTCCCTTTTTGTGGTTCCTTTGTTGGTTTACCAATGTCATGGCTACATTTTTGCTTCTGTACAGTTGTAAGGCAAGAGGGATATTGTAATTCTTTCAGAAATGGCCATAATTTTAAGCTGTGGTGAATATGGTTCTCTCTGTAGTCTGTACTATTTTAAGAAAAGTCCACAACACTACTGTTTTATGTTGGTATAATATAACAAGTTAATTAAATGTTAACACGTAATCAAAAACAAAAGGACGCTCCTTGCTCATGTAAACTTTTGTGAATCTGTGCATTCTTTTGTGGGGCTGCAGTCGGGGTCACATTTATCCAAAGTGAGAAGTAGATAAAACGCACTCCGTTTTATAAGTTGAGTCTTAGATTAGATTTTTTTCTTGTAAAAAAAAAGAAAAAAACTTTTGTGAATCTGTGCATTCTTTTGTGGGGCTGCAGTCGGGGTCACATTTATCCAAAGTGAGAAGTAGATAAAATGCATTTCGTTTTATAAGTTGAGTCTTAGATTAGATTTTTTTCTTGTAAAAAAAAAAAAAACTTTTGTGAATCAGTACAGGACCCAGTTCTTCTTGCCCAATATATAATTTTAGGTGGGGATAATTTTGTCGAAGTTCAAAAAAATAATTGAAGCGGACGCTTCAAACGCTTCCCGCTTCGTTCGCTTAAATGGCAAAGTAGGTGCTTCTTCAGGCCTGTTTTATTAAAGGCATTTCAGGTTTTTGTGGAGAGTTGGTGGCCAATGGCACTCTGCTCTTCTGCTTAAGCGGTTTAAGTTGATGCTTTTGAAAACATATAAATATTAATTCCTAAAAAAATTATTTTTTTTTATTTTATTTTTAAGGTACATAATAAGATATAAATTTTTTATTGTATCTTTACCTACTCTATCCGCGTATTTAGGACTTGAATCTACAATGTCTTGCTTTATATAAAGAAGAAATTATCATTCGATTATTTAAGTTGTTAACATAAAAAATTATTATATAATTTAAATTATATTAAATTATAAAATAAAACTCGTTAAAGAAAAAGTAAGACTTCTAATATTAAAAGCATCATTTTTATCTAACCATTTTTATTTTTTAATTCAATATAATTTAAACTACAAAATATAAAATTTTAAAAACTATAATACGTTAGTAAAAGTAAATCACTCTCATAGGAAAACTGAATGAATATATATGCAATCTCACCTTTTATTTTTTGTTATTTTAAGTTGCACAAAAGATAACCTTATGTTATTTCTTAACTTATTTCATGTTATCCATATATTTATGTAATTTAAATTCAAATTTTTTATTTTTACTTTTAAAAAATCACCATAGTTACTGCTGCAACCATTTGTGGGGTTTTGTATTGCGGAAAATAATAAAGATATAAAATACCAACAATTTATTGGTTTAAATAGAAAAAACTCAATTTTTTTTAAATAAAATTTTAAATTTGAGTATTATAAATGGAGAAATAAGTACTGAAAGAATTTTTCTCCAAATGAAATTTGATACGACTCGATTTCAGATTAATGAAAATTCAATATAATTACTAAATATTAAGAGATCAATAAAAAAAAATAAAGATACAAAATAAATTAAAAAAAAAAAAAAAAAAACCCTTAACCTTGTAGTTGTTCTTGGATAAACCTTATCCTAGTGTTGACATGCAATTTATTTGGCAGATGGTGTCAGGACAAATCAATTTTGAATCTTGATGATAATGTTTGGCGGGTTTCCACGTACAGACAATTACTTTTCACCATGGTTTTGTCCACATAGAGGTGATAAAGGGTTTTGAGATTTGTCTCACCTCAAGAAGGAAACAAAACATGGACAGAAAGAAATTTACAACTTTTTTAACAAGGTAGTGAAAAAGGCTGAGACATCATTACGCCTCAGTTGTAACTTTTTGAATTATTATCATACTTTTTTCTCCACCACAACTCTCTTCACATGGATTGTTAATGTTTTCTCTTGATGATCATGGCCTTTATGGCAGAAGAACAGAAAAGGTTAAAGACAATCGTAGATGAAGATAAATGTGGCAGAGATCTGAAGCTGAAGACAAATGGCTTAAGTTGGGTGAATTGTCCGAGAATGATTGTTGTTACACTCACAAGTGATTCGTTCAGGTGTTAAAAAAACAAAAAGAAAAAAAAAAAGAGTAAAGTACAGCCTGCCTGCTAAAAAAAATAAATAGTGTTTTTCTTTTAACTTAAGAAATTTTTAAGGTGAAAAATTAATAGTGTCTAAGTGTAGAATGCATAACTTCATGTTCTAATACTTCTCCTCCAAGCATATGGCCATTAAACTACTTAATGTTGAATAAAATGGTGGTTTTTTTTTAGTGTAGATTATACAAAAGAAGTATAATCTAGTTGAAATTGTCAAAATGAATAAATATAAAGAGGAATTTTATTAATGATTTTAATATTTAAATTATTTTTTTTGTTTATTTTTAACAAATTTAGTTTGATTTTTAACTTTTTATATATGAATTTTAAATAAAAATTTAACAATTTATATGAATAATAATAAATTTTTTTCCTATATACAATTTTTTTGTTAAATATTTTAATTTAATCAAAAAATTTTAATTACCATTTATATAATATGTTAAATTTTTATTTAAAATTTATATTTAAAAAATTTAAAAATTAAACTAAAACTATTAAAACAAATGAATAGAGTATTTTTTTTCTATGCAATTTATATTAAAAAAAACATTTTTTTAAAATAATTGCAAATTTTTGCGTAAAAACGAGGATCATCGAAATGAAGGAGAGCTTCCACCTATACCAGAGAGTAGGTTAGTTTTGTAATAATTTCTTTTTA